ATTTTTGGCGGGTGAAAGTTTTGAGATTGAGTGAGGAAGCGAATCGTGAAAACCCAAAATTGTGGTTTCCTTGAGAATCAGCTATAATATTTATGTATATTTTGTGATTTTGTAGTTGAGTCTTCTTCAGAAACTAGTGGAATTTTCATGGTTAGAAGTATTTTTTTATTAACAGTGAAATTATAATATTTAATACAAGAGTTGTTAATTAGAATATAATGAAAATCTTGTAAATATTTTGAATTGTTTTGGTGATTTTTTAGAGCATATAAAGTGCCATGTAACTTATAAACTTTGTAATTGTGAAAAATATGAAGGTAGAGTTTTTTTTTTTTTTATAAATAAACTAAGCTAAAGGAGGTTGAGGTCATTTTTTCTTTTAAAAACTATTTATTTTATTCACTTGTCATTCCTTTTTCTATTTATTTTATTCTTTCAATAGCAAAATAATAATAAAAATATTATGTAGAGATTGAGAAAAAGGCATTCTTTGAAATAAAATAATATTAAATCTAGTGTAATAAAATAATATTAAATTTTGTGTGATCAAAGATAAAAGGAATTAGTCTCCAATTAATTTATTTTTCTAGGGATTAATTTATAATCTACTCTGTATATAAATCAAATTGACAGACAATCAAATTCTGACTAATTACCAATGATAATAAAATTATCCACACTTTTTTTTTATTCGACGGCAAAATTATTATCGAATAAACTAAATTTCTTGTTGAGCAAAATTAAGGTATATCTCTCATATAGAACCGATACATTCAAAAGAATTTAATAAAATTCATTTGAATATTAACTCCAAGATTTGAAAACAAATCTATACTCTATTCTTTAAACTTAGTTTTTATTTTTTAATGGGTTTTTGTAACATATTATAGCTAATAATAAGACGCGAGGAGGAAAAGTGAGAGAAAAGTGATAAAAAAAAGAGTAAAAGTATGAAAAAAAACTAGCTTCAGTAAACATTAACAAATCAGCGTTAAAGAGTAAAATTCGAACTTTCCAAATAACGTAGGGGTAACATTAGAAAATAGAAAAGTACAAGGATAAAAGCGGAGCACCGATAACGTTATAAGGGTACAAATACAGTTTACCCCATAAAAAACAAAAAACGAGCCATCCCCTTGAATTTCTGGGCTTAGAAACAGTACTATGGGCCGGCTCATTATGAATAATCCTCAGCCCTCCATCGCTCCCTCCCTCCCTCACATTCATAAATTCCGCCATTCCCCGCTTAACTCTCTCAATTTCATTTCCCCGAAAAAAAAAAAAGAGAAGGAAAAACCGCCTCAAACCGATCAGTCACAGAGAGAAGAGAACCCTAGGAAGATAAATGGCGTCGTCCTCTTCTTCGTCGTCTTCAAATGCTGGAGAATCGTACATAGGAAGCCTGATTAGCATCACCTCTAAGTACGAGATTCGCTACGAAGGTGTTCTTTATCACATCAATCCACAAGACGCCACCATTGGCCTAAAAAACGGTGCGCTTTTATATTCTTCTGTTGTCTCCCTACGTTTTCTTATTAATCACGATGAATCTGTACTTGAAAGCAAATTACACGAATAACTAATAATAATGATAATCTGGATATATGTGGTTTCCGAGTAATTTTTGAGAGTGATGAATTTTGTTATGCTGCACACTACTCTCTTTTTTAGTGATTTTCATGGATAATTTTGTTGTAAATATCAGTTCTGAGAGTTTTAATTATTTTTTTTATGTTTTTTTAATTAATTTAATTTATTGTGTGAATATTGAAAATAAGTTTTCTGCATTCATTTCTGGTAATACAACGCGTATTCATTTGCTCCTAGTGTGTTGTGATTTGTGGTTGGATAATATTAATGTAGATAAATTACTGTGTTCTATCGTTTGATACGGGAGATGTACATTTTTCTTTGTTTTGATGCAATATCTGGACATATTTATTTATTTGCATAATGTTGCCTTATAAATTATGCTGCAGTGAGGTCTTACGGAACAGAGGGTCGTAAGAAGGATGGACCACAAATTGCCCCTAGTGATAAGGTGTATGAATATATTCTATTTCGTGGAAGTGATATTAAGGTAAGCCGGGGATAATTATCTGCCTCTCGTATGGATTTTTTTTTTCCGGTGGCCTTTTTGTCGTAGCTTCATGTTTTTACTTCTGCGCTTTAAGAATTGAATGGTTTCTTTATTCAATTATTTTATATGGAATTTGAGCAACTGATTAGCATCATGAATTCTCATATGTATCCCTGTTCGGAACAGAAGATGTTAGATTTCAGCTTTTCTCTCCTTTATTTGTTGTATGATTTATAGATAACGATGCTTTTCATACTCACGAAGTAGCCATCTAAGTGTTTCTAAGAATTTTGATATTTCAAAGCGATGCTATCACACATAGAGTTTCTGTTTCTTGTGCTAAGTGTAGGAACACTGTTTTGTGTTGTGCATGTAAATGTGCTTGCTGCAATTAATTACTGCTATTATCAGGATTTGCAAGTGCAGTCCCCACCACCTGACCAAACAGAGGAACAGGTTTACAATGACCCTGCTATCATCCAGGTTTTGACATTTGGCTTATATTGAAGAATTATGAAAATTATGAAACTCAGTCTATTCTTATTCATTCTTCTATTCCTGTGTTCTGTAGAACCATTCTGCTTTAAGTTCTTCAACTGCAGCTGGTGTTCAGGCACAGCATACGCCTGCTTTGACGACCAGAGCCTATTCTGGTGCATTGCCTTTGTTTCAGCCTGTAAACCATGTTGGCTTAACAAATCTTTCCCAGGCAACTCAAAATGCTGGTTCATCTCTTTCCATTCCAAAGCATTCACAAGGATACCATGGAATATCTTCCCAGCAGTCTATGGTTTCATCTCCCTTAATAGTTCAGAATCATATGCAGGCTCTTGGATTGCAGGAACCTCCAGCTATGGGATTGAAAAGTCCTTCAGAATGTATTACTCCTGAATCAACTGTTGCAACCAATCCATTTAATCCAATTTTTTTATCTTCCCTTTCACCGGTACAGTATCCGACTTCTCCTGACACATCATCCTTCTTATCTCTGAAGACATCTGTTCCACCTCATGCTTCATCTCTTCCTGCTAATAGATTAACCATGTCTTCGATTCCCATGTCTAGTCAAGACATCAAAGCAACTGAAACTCTAGCTGTTGCAGACCCCATGGCTATGCGTCCTGCCCAATCTTTGCCTTACCTCATGCCATCCTATGTTGGTTCTACTTCTAGATCTGTGTTAACACCACTTCCATCTCTTTTAAGTCCTCATCACTTCTTACAGTCTAGGTCACTCGTGCTTTCTTCCCCACAGAAGCTGTACCCTGACCAGAAAGGTGTAGCTGCTCTGACTCCTTTATCATCTACTTCTCCACCCTTGCTTTCTACTCCAGCATCACAACCACCGTTATTACCTTTGCCAGGTTCTGTACAACAGGTTGAACCTCTTTCACTCTTTCTGTTAAAGTTCTATAGAACTTTTTTACATGTATTGCCTCTCTTGCAAACATATATGTATACATAACAGTTCTGAAGGTGATTTCCTGCTGTCTTTTTGTTGACTTTTACCGCAGCATAAATACTTGACCTCAAAATTCACTGAAGAATTCGATTTTGAAGCCATGAATGATAAGTTTAAAAAAGATGAGGTTTGGGGTTATCTTGGAAAGGCAAAGCAAAGAGAGAAAACTGAAGGCATGGAGGATAATTCAACTGATCAAAGCATGGTGGACAAAGAGGCCCCTGTTGTGGTTCTTAATCTCGATCCTAAGGTAGGTCTTTGAGTTTTTTCATTCATTAGTTAAGACACATTGATGAAACTTTAAATTACTATCTCCCAGCAGTTGAAGATTTATAAATTATTTACCTCCATTCGCAATGCTAAAACCATTATTGATTCTCTATTCAGCCTGCCTACAAGAAGGATGAATTCTTTGATACAATTTCTTGCAACATCCGCAATCAGCGGTGGAATGGGCAGAACTGTTTCTCTGAGCGAATGAAGCTGGATACTGAGGTTTGCTTACAGGAAATGATTATTAATTTGTGCTAATAATTCACTTAAGATTGGATGATTTATTGATATTCTGACATTACTTTCTTTTATCAGACTTTTGGCAACTTGCATCTCAGACCTAATTTGGGTTATGGAGGCATCGGTTCTGGACGTGGTGATACCTATCACACCTCACGTGGTCGGGGAAGGGGATATGGTTATCGTGGGAGGGGCCGTGGGTACATTGGATTCTGATGCCATCTGATCCCATTAGTCTCCAGCTATCCATCTGCTTCTGTATATTAAATCTCTTTTCCAATGTTCTACATCTACGAGTTATGGTAAAGGATATGGGACCATGGGGGGACCTTTCTCTTAGAATATGCAGTTGAGTTGTCAACTAGGAACTGCAGGAATGAACACTGATGGCTAGTTCATGCTTTTGTTTTTTTTTTTAGCCGATGAGCCAGCCTTTCACTTTTACTACCATAAGCAGCGTTGATCTTAGATGTTCGAATTAGATGTTTAGGAGCCTACTGTTCTTGTGTTTTCTTTTCTAATTAGATCAGTTGTGTTTGTCAATGCTGACAGATCCATTTTACCCATCATCTTCATTGTAATCGCAGACAGGCTTTCCTGGTATGAAGGCAGGCATTAAATTGTAAACCATATTCTGGTGAGCAACATTAGATCCATTTGCATGTCCACAGAAATGTAATCTGTGAAATGGTTATGCTTGATATGTAGGATGTTATATAGATTTTTTTATGAGCTAAAGCTACAATTTGCTATTCACATCACTGGGATTTCCCCTCTCAAAAACCTCAGTTTACCCCCCTCGATTTGGATTAGCTTGCATTTTGTGTTTCCTCAACAGCTTAGCTGACTTGTTCTGACAAGTAAAAAATATTTGCTAGGAAAACAAATTGCAAGGAACTGTCTCAATCGTTTTGTTGAAAATTATTGCTTTTGAGAAATAGAAAGGGACTTGAAGCCTTTGCAGCATGCCTTTATTCTTTTCCTCATCTCGTCCCAACCACACAAAAGAATGGCAATCCCCTTCTCTCAGCCACTTTGCACTTTTGTTTTTTTGGGCTTCTATACCTGTTACATGGTGGAGTTGTTCCCACTTATTGGCATGCGTATGGGGAGATTGCCTCCATCTCTTCTTGTACACAGATATCAGTGCCTGTGTGTGTGTGTTTTTTTGGTTGTTGATGTGTATTTCCTTTTTGAGTGTGTTTTTTATCCAACTTGTGCATGCATTTTTCTACCTTGTTCTGCTTCTGCCTGTCTAAGTGTAAAGATTGCTGAGCCAAGTAAGGTGGCTGTGGTAACCAAGATTAGGACCCCTGAGCCAATAAACACTCCATCTCTGACCACATAGCATTCATGATCCAACCATCCTTTCCCATAGGCTTGCCTCCTGCTCATGCTTGTGGCTGTGCTCAGTAAAATAACTGCAATTCCAAAGCTGATCCTGCCAAATCCATTCTATTATTAATTAAAACTCTGGCATCACCAGCTGTCCATGTTCTTTAGAGGCTCAAATATCCTAACAACTGAGATCACTACCACAGTGCCCCACGTTACTCTTATTTGTCTTTTTTCCCTTAAAAAATGTCATTTCATTGTCACTGTTTAGTTGCTATCTTAATTCTTCAGATGAGCCATGAATTGTCAAACTTTTAGGATGTAATGACATGCGCTCTATTATAGTATCTGGATTCATTGAAGTTCTCCCTTACAGGATAGAAGGGTATCTTTACCTTACATAATTAAATCCGTAATTTCCTAAATTAGGTCAATGTCAAATCACTGTTGATCGATCTTGATTGCTTTTTTGTGCCTGTAACCATTTGTTTGTATTGTTAGCTTATAGATCTATCAAAATAATACTTTTTTTTTTTATATATAATTTAAAAATATATGTGAAAAAAAAATATCGCTGAAGTCACCCAAGAATGAGAATGGAACCGTAACGTGGTAAGTTGGAAATATTCTTATCACTCCATCTACGAACTTAGTTATTCATTTAACCTTTCCCTAATTTAGACAACTGAGATAATCTTTGTAGGAGCTAGGATGTGTATGTTTTAGCAGTGGAAAGACGAGTGGCAACAATAGGTATATCTATAAATACACACGAGATGTGATTGATTACCTACCAGGAGAAAACCAGGAGTCCCGTGGCAATCTTTGGTTTCTTAGCCTTGGAGCTGTTACTGTTCTCTCTCTGCCGAAAAAGAGTGCAAATCATCACGTTCCCAATGCCTTGAGCGATGACTAGCCATATCAGAGCTGCGATACCAAAGCCAAATGCATGGCTTTGGGGCAATTCACACAGTTTATTGCTCAATTTGAGATCCTCCTTCTGCAAATTAAACACCCCAAAACAATTAGGAAATCAATGAATTGGCTTGAATCCTTACAGTAAAGATACATTTAACAAAAGGCGAAAACAAATCAAGTACCTTGGCTTTCTTGGACTCAGCAAGAATACAAGAAACAAAAGAGACGAGGGAGAGGGAGAAGGAGACGATGATGGAGAAAATTAGCGGGAACCCATATTGATGTCTAGCCATGGTGGAGAAATAGTGTGTATCTTTCTTGGAAAAAGGGTTGGTATAAAAGAAGAAGAAGAATAATAAGAGGAGTGGATGCTTTGAGGTTACTCAAGGAATAGAAAGAGAGAGTGGCGTTCTCTTGATACTGTTGGTCCTCCTCCTTGTCATCATCTTTCCTTTGAAGTAGTTGAGGCCTTCTTTCATTGCTTTGAAGGAGAGATACCATTCCTAACTGTATCTAGGCTGTTTTGGAATATATATATATATATATATATATAT